ACTGTAACCGGAGCTAACCGGAAACCGAACCTGGCGCTTCATATTAACCCCTTACCGACCGAGCCCAATGTACTCACTGTAACCGGAGCTAACCGGAAACAGAACCTGGCGCTTCATATTAACCCCTTACCGACCGAGCCCAATGCACACACTGTAACCGGAGCTAACCGGAAACCGAACCTGGCGCTTCATATTAACCCCTTACCGACCGAGCCCAATGTACTCACTGTAACCGGAGCTAACCGGAAACAGAACCTGGCGCTTCATATTAACCCCTTACCGACCGAGCCCAATGCACACACTGTAACCGAGCTAACCGAAACCTAACCTGGCGCCTACATAACCTCTACCCAATCGGTGCCCAATGTACCCACCGTAACCAGAGCTAACCGAAACAGAACCTGGCGCTTCATATTAACCCCCACCGGTAATCGGTGCCCAATGCACACTGTAACCGAGCACCGAAACCTAACCTACGCCATATTAACCCTCACCGACCGAACAATGTAATAATATTCGTAACCGGAGCTAACCGCAGAAACAGAACCTGGCTACCATATTAACCCCCAATGACCTACCAATGTACACACTGTAACCAGAGCACCGAACCGTAACCCGCGCCGAGTTAACCTTACCCACCAGCCCAATGTACCTTCCACTGTAACCAGAGCTAACCGGAAACAGAACCTGGCGCTTCATATTAACCCCTTACCGACCGAGCCCAATGCACGCACTGTAACCAGAGCTAACCGGAAACCGAACCCGGCGCTTCATATTAACCCCTTACCGACCGAGCCCAATGTACTCACTGTAACCAGAGCTAACCGGAAACAGAACCTGGCACCTCATATTAACCCCTTACCGACCGAGCCCAATGCACACACTGTAACCAGAGCTAACCGGAAACAGAACCTGGCACTTCATATTAACCCCTTACCGACCGAGCCCAATGTACGCACTGTAACCGGAGCTAACCGGAAACAGAACCTGGCGCCTCATATTAACCCCTTACCGACCGAGCCCAATGCACGCACTGTAACCGGAGCTAACCGGAAACAGAACCTGGCGCTTCATATTAACCCCTTACCGACCGAGCCCAATGCACACACTGTAACCGGAGCTAACCGGAAACCGAACCTGGCGCTTCATATTAACCCCTTACCGACCGAGCCCAATGTACTCACTGTAACCGGAGCTAACCGGAAACCGAACCTGGCGCTTCATATTAACCCCTTACCGACCGAGCCCAATGCACACACTGTAACCAGAGCTAACCGGAAACAGAACCTGGCGCTATATATTAACCCCTTACCGACCGAGCCCAATGCACACACTGTAACCGGAGCTATCCGGAAACAGAACCTGGCGCTTCATATTAACCCCTTACCGACCGAGCCCAATGCACACACTGTAACCGGAGCTAACCGGAAACAGAACCTGGCGCTTCATATTAACCCCTTACCGACCGAGCCCAATGTACACACTGTAACCAGAGCTAACCGGAAACAGAACCCGGCGCTTCATATTAACCCCTTACTGACCGAGCCCAATGCACGCACTGTAACCGGAGCTAACCGGAAACCGAACCCGGCGCCTCATATTAAC